ACTTCTTCCAAAAGAATGGTTGGTTATCCACGGAATTTCATCAAATGATAGACACCCCAAGCCAACTTATTAAATCAAAAGCCCCCAAGGAAAGCACTAAGAATATTGCCTTACCATATATAAAGTATATCTCAGAAATCACTACAAGACTCTTCAGACCTTGAGGAATTGACGTCGTACACAAACCAACAAAGTCACTTCACTCAATTCTATGTCAACCAAAAGACTCAACAGCGAAATAAGATAAAACCAACATCATCTACAAAATTAATTGTAACAAATGGGAAGAACACTACACTGGCCACAATGGACGTCCCTTAGTCTTCGTATCCACTAACATAATCTAGCCGTCAAAAGACATGATATCCACTCCCTCATATCACTTCATACAGACAACCAAGGACATAAATTAGACTTGGACAACTAGCGTTCAAATATTAGATAGAGGAAATAACAAGAATGCTAGAGAATTTTTAGAAGCTTGACATTCCAGTGAATCATCAATCAATAGACACATAGAAATAGACAAAATTTATCAACTGATGAGAAAGAAACCTCACACACACACAAAGGGTCAAAGTTCAAGTCAAATAAACAATCAGTTCCAACACAAGTAACCTAGAAGTTGTGGAAACACACAAAAACAACCAAACACGTCCAAGAGATGATTAATAAACTCATGGAGAAATCTAAAAGCTCACTTCAACAAATAGAAGTATGCGCTGAAGGTAGATGTCGCCTAGTAGGGTGATGAAAGCTTCGCAAATCATTTATCCAGCTCAGAGAACACAACCACATCAAAAAATGTTAACCATGCATCTCTTTGTGGCTGTTTCTTGAATGTCAGATCATCTATATGTTAACTGTATCCGTCTACGCAAAGCCTTTGTTCTAAATATTGGGGACATAAACATTAACGTAAATTACTGTCCACCATTTTTGACTAACAGCCAGCTCTGACCACAAGGAGAACAAAATTCCGATTTTCAGTACCAATGTTTACCAGTCAGTCAGTCAGTCAGTCAAATCTTGGTCCGAGAATCACAAGGCAAAACATTTTTTTGCAACAGCCTATTGAGGAGTTTGATAAAACAGTCGCTTTCATTGGCTGAATATTGAAGATCAGACGGTCGATTAGAAAGAATTTTCTTCAAGAAACACTGAGAATGAACTAATCAAGAGTCTGTGGCTCAATGAATACTTAGAAGAATATGCGAATGTATTGGGAACACGTTGAAGAGGTCGTTTTGTGAAATCGTGTGTGTGTGTGTGTGTGTGAGGCTAGTCTGTCGTTTTGGGAAACGATGCGTTGTGTGAGTGTCTGCGTATGAAATGAAAGTGAGCGTGTTGACAGGCGATGAGAGACTATGGGCAATTGTCGAGTCATCTAAACAGTATCATAGTAAACAGGACAAAATGTAGATGTGGTGTTGAGGCCCTATGTTCCACTTGGAACCCAAGGGGAACAATGACAAATAATAATAATTTTCTATAGTTGGCTTCTAAGGATTAGATTTGTTTACACGAGTTTGACCTTGCATTGATATCAGTTAGAGAAACATTGGAAACCAGCAACTGAGTACTGGACAGCTAGCCGTTTCATCCTAGTTTAGGAATCATTCACAGTAAGCACCCACCACCAGGCTTCGAACTCAGGACCTTCGGGTTACAAGGCAAGCTCGTATACCATTCAGCCACTAGGACATAACTCCTTATTGGCCAGTGCATGAATTTCAACTTCTACCAATTCATGAATTTCAGCGATCACCAACAAATGTCATTGGCGGGAACGCCATTCTCACATACTTGACTGACTAGACCTCACTGGTCACGACTTCTCAATAGAACTCTGGGGAACTCAGTCCATCCAATCACATGTGAACATGATGACTCACTGATGACATTTGTTGGTGGTCGCTCAAATTCACCAATTGGTGGAAGTTAGAATTCATGCACTGGCCACTGAGTGGTCGGGTTCCAGTGGCTGAATGGTATACCAGCTTGCCTTGTAATCGGAAGGTCCTGGGTGTAAAGTCTGGTGTTGGGTGCTTCCTGACGATGATTCCCAAACTAGTGGGATGAAACAACTGTCCAGTACTCCCTGTGGCTGGTTTTCAATGGTTCTCTAACTAATATCGATCCGTGATCAAGACGTATAAATAATAATGCTAAACACTACAGATAGCATGAACCTCAATTATTTGCATCATTTTCAAGATTGATACCGAAATCACTTCAGTTAAGTAAATATGTTAAACCAGCAGGTATTGAACAGCTGTAAAATGCTTGTTTGAAACTATTCCTCAGTCACTGGACACAGGACTTCCAGGCTACGAGAATAGACGTGCTCACCACTGAGCCACGTTAGCCAAAGAGCTTCAAACAACAGCCTAAACATCTCTCCAATACTCCCTCTGTGGTAGTTTCCAAAGGTGATCATCTTTGATGTTCATTAAAAACCAAGCTGCAGATCAAAACTTGAAAATCATTTCTAATCATTCGCATATAAGAGAATTGTTATTAGGATGTACCATGAATGTAAACTTCAAATTTGACAGCACGCTTTACAGGCAAATAGACGGGGTGGCGATGGGCTCCCTATTGAGTCCCATTCTGGCTGATTTCCTTCTAAGTAAGCTAGAAAATCGACCTTTAAACAACCTTATCAGCAAGCTCTCATTTTATTCCCGATATATGGATGATACCTTCATTCTTTGTGATAATGGTTCTGATAGGAGTACAATAATTGCTGAATTCAATGAAGTACATTCGGCTATGAAATTCACCAGAGAAGAGGAATCCAAAGACAGAATCGCCTTCCTGTATGTCCTACTAACAAGAAAACCAGATGGTATCATAAAAAGAAATTTGCATAGAAAAAGTACTTGGACAACAGGACAATATACACATTTTCACAGCTTCGTTCCTATCAAGTACAAAAGAAATTTAGTAAAGATCCTCAGCCACAGAGTTAGTTAGCGCTATATGCTCAGAAGAAGTAACTGAAGATGAATTGAGCATTGTATATGATATTTTCATCGAAAATAGCTATCCCGAAAAATTAATCAAGAAATACATGACAAAGAAAGCGGTGGAAAAGGACTACTCACTATCTGTAAACAAGAAGCCACTTTATACACGACTACAATTCAAGGGCGATATACCAAGTGAGATAATTCCGAGGAAATTAATAAAATCAGTTCAAAGAACTTCTAATGCTGGCAAAAATACACGTCTTATTCTCTTATTCACGACCGATGGTGTTACCTCGACTGATGGACGAAGTACCTAGACTAACTGACCACTTCAAATTGTATCTACAAATTCAACTGCGCTTGTGATGGGGGGAGTTATATTGGCCGTTGCTCTAGGAACTTGATTTTTCGTGCTCACTCGAGAACATTTCCCAGTATGGTTAAGTAAAGATGTAGTTAAAACTATCAACAGTTCGATATTCGACCATCTGGTGCAAACCGGCTACGAAGCCAGCCAGTGTGGAAGAATTTTTCTCTATCATCATCTACTGGGTGCCTAATAAATTGCCAAAATCATCATCGAAGCACCGCATGCTCCAATTCGCCTCAAACAACCAGTTCTCTGTCTTCAAAAGAAGAAAGTCCAGCTACCCCTACTACTGCCCTGACCAGCCTTCAGCAGAGACTATAAATTCATGAATTTGTAATATTTGCTTTCCTAATTTTTCTGACATCCAGCTTATTTTATGTTGATGCTTTTGAGCTGTAATCTATCAATATTGTTATTGATTAGATGTTATTTAAACACCAACATTAATGCCGTTCATAACACTAATTCATTCATTCATTCACTATAATCGATGGATATATAACTGTAGAGCCTGATGATGATGAAGAGGTTATTGAAAAGTAGTACTCTTTGTTCAGTATCCATTCTTTTGACAAATAAGAGTTAATTATTATGAGCTGACATCAATTAGAGAACCATTGGAAAACCAACTGGGAGTACTGATGGAAGAGTCTCCAGCTAGGACGAAACAGCTGGTTGTCCAGCACTCCAAGCTAGTCTATCAGTATTTCTCTAAGTGCTATCAGCTCATGATGAAATCCACAAAAGTAATCAAACAAAATCCCTACAAAAACACCAATACTTAAAAAATAACACTAGCGAGATACTAACACAGCGCATTAGAAATGCAGTGAAACGAGCACTCCCTGCTGCTGAATTACGTTCTACCTTCAAGACCCCTCTTCTTCTGCATTCGGAATTAAAACACAAACTGCCTAATTTCACCTCTTCCATGTGTATCTACCAATTTAACTGCTCCTGTGCAGTGAACCGGTTACATAGGCCTCACATTTAGGCGTGTTTCTCGTCGAATTTCCGAACATCACCCTGCCTGGTGGGTTAAGCAGAGGACAAACAAAATCTATTCGTAGCGCTATTCTGGTTCATCTTGTGGATACAGAAAGTAAGATTGATGTTAACCAGGCTTTTAAAGTTATTTACCAGATACCAACAAATCTCAACTCCGCCTTAAGAGTTCGATTACTAAATATTGCTGAGGCTGTTGGGATCCACATTAAAAAGCCTAATTTGTGCGTCCAAAGGAAATTAGTTCAAACACTGTCCTTACCTTGGCCATCTAGGTTTGAATGATCCTCAATTTTTGTGGAAATTTTCCTAATTTTAGTTCATATTCTATTTGCTATTATATCTTTATTATTATTATAATTTAAGCATCTTTAATTAACTGTAATTCCATTGTGATCTTACTTTACAAATCGATATTATTTAAAAAAAACACGGCGATATTGTTATTAACTACCAACCTTGAATATTATGTGTGCATAAACATGCATATATATATATAATTGTAATGCCAGAAGAGGGGGAATTTATCGAAAGGGGGATATTCTTTGCTCAATTATTTCGTGTTTTATAGATGTCTGAATGAATATTTTTGCTATATTGAAATTGATTAATAATTACTTTTATTTTTATTTTTCACCTCTGCTTTTTAGATGAGTAAACTGCTGACAACAGAGATATCATAAAGATCCTAACATCGATGATTATTTCACACTGTGACGATGCAGCCTCAACTGATTCAGAGAGAGAGAGTGCGTGTGAGTAGTACCCAGTCGATCGTCAATCTATCTCCTTCTATCTTTCTATCTCCTAAGTGCTTTATTGAAAGCTTAATTTTAGTGTACATTCAGAATTCGGTGACTTTACATTTTAAATTGTACTCTTAGCTCTTTGATTAATTTAACGTGTTCGTGTGTGTGCGTGTGCGTGTGTGTAAAGTGCACATTGAATTGTCACAGTATCATAAACAACAAGAATGTATGTCTGTTCTACAAAAATGTTTTACCTCTGGTCTGTATTCCACTATCAACATCATCATCATCCTCATCACAAAATACCCAGAATGCCACACCACCTGCTGTTCATTTTCTTTTCGAATGATTGGTTATTACTACTACTTCTATCACTATTAATACTACTGATAAAGTAAAGATTACGATTAATTAATTAATTAATTGATATACCACCTCATCAAGATCTAAAAGAGATAAATAGATGCAGCAAACACGATTGCTCCATCATTTTTAAATTTCTAAACTTATTAGTTGACATATTTTTATTCCGTTTTTTTCTTGGTTTTGTTTTGTTTCGTTTCATCCTTGTTTTGTTTGATTTTGTAGTGAGACAATATTTTTCATTTCACTTTTTTACTATCAATCAAATATTCTTATTTTCTATATGATGACTTAGTTTTCTATCTAACTTTTTTGTTTGAAAAATACACACACACACACATATTGACCGCCGAAAATAAACAAACAGATTATCATGTTCACTGTTCAACAATCTTCGTTTTTTCCTGTTGTCCCGTATTGTGGTTGTTGTTGTCGTTCCCCACCCCCACCCCACCCCACCCTTCATTTTGATAATACTGCTGTTGTGATGATCGCATCAAGTCAATCAATCACTCTTACAAGAATATACATATATATATATATATATATATATGTATCTGTTTTCTATTGGTGGCTTTAAAATCGACGAGTAGCGGGAAATTTGAATTTGGCGGGAATTTGACATTTTGTTGCGGGAAATATGATTTGAATCGCCATTTCTTTCATACTGTTTTTTTTATAATTTGACCAACACCAAAATAGATTGATGTTTGTATCTTATTAACATTTTTTTTAAATACTTAGAGTATTATGCATCCTGTTTTTTTTTTATTTTCTGTACTCGATAGAGATTTTTGTTTTCGATTAGATAGATAATCGTTTTGTTTCTATTCTTTGTTTTTTTCAATTTTTCTGTTTGTTTGTTTGTTTATTTTTTGTTTTGATTTTTGATTACATGATCACAGAGGAGAATAATTTTCTTTATAAAACAAATAGATAGAGGAAGGACATAAATAAATGTTACTAATGAGAAATTTGTGTTCATTTTTTTCCGAACAAATCAACTGCTAATGGTAACCGCCTTGCCGAAGTCATTTCATACGACGTTGTGTAACTCTGTGTAGCACTGTGGAATAGCTATGCGGTAGTGCTCAGTGTTCAGCGTTGATAAGGTGTTCGAGGATAGAATATAACTATGGTTCTTCACTTCATCATCTGGCGGCTAACCAAGGTGGATAGTATTCATAAATACGTATGTTCGGTAGACATACTTTTCTCCACAGGTATAAAATTAACTGCTCAATGCACACTGTGGTGACCAAAACCGGTTGGTATCTTATCCTTGATGCTTGAATGGAACAACTGTCTACTTAAAAAATGTGATATACTAGGTGGTTGCATAAAAATATCTTCTTCAAACAGTTGAGAAGCTGATGTCTAAGAGCTTATTCTTCACTGTCACTCTCGTACTCCAGTCTCATGTTAAAATGTGATATGGGTGTTAGTACATTGCATAGTTTGCGCTGACAAATATCCCACCTCGTCGTTTCGTGAGCCTACTGTTCTACTGACTGTTAGCAATACCACTGACACGATAGGATACCACTGAAAAGGCGACTCAAGAAGAGAAGATAGATCGCTAACATAGAGAGAGCTTTAACGGTCTTGAATCGACAGTGAAAGGTGGTTGATAGCGCCTGCGTATACATATTCTCTAAGTGACCCTCGGAGATGCAAATTACACTGGTGAACAAAAACAACCGACAACCAATAGGACTGCAAGGTTATAGTTGAGATGAAGGAAATACAACCAGAAATGTGAAGATGAATGAAGCATTTCAAGAAAATTAGGGCTATATGAAATAGCCATCTTAGGAGTAATTTCAGTCTTTCATCAGCGGAGGATACTCTTTCATGTTTTTCTCAATTAACCTAGGTGGAGACTTAAATAAACCTGTGCTATATCTTATGATTATTATTATTATATTCTTTAATTCCTAGAGGAACATAGGGCTTCAGCTGCGCGTCTCCATTGCCTTCGGTTTTCTGCCATCTTTTTCACCCCGCTCCAAGTCTGCCCACATGCTTTCATCTCCTCTTCACATGACCTCCTTTAAGTCACCCTCGAACTGACGACCAACTTCCCGCTTCCCTTTCCGGTTCCACTCGAGAGCTTTTCTAGTGATGTAACTTGATGGTTTCCTCAGTGTATGGTCAATCAATCTCCATTTCTTCCTGCCTATTTGTTTCACAATCGGTTCCTGGTTGGTTCGCTCCCAGAGATCTTTGTTGCTGATCTTTTCTGGCCATCTGATCTTGAGTATTGAGCGAAGACAACTGTTGATGAAGGTCTGAAGTTTGTTTGAGATGCTCCTTATGACTCGCCAAGTCTCTGATCCGTGTAGAAGCACTGACTTTACATTGGAGTTGAAAACTCGGATCTTATTTTTGATGCTGAGTGCTGTTGACCTCCACACAGATCAATACATGACTTGTTTCTCTTGAATCCAGCTTGTTCCGGTCAAAGTTTTTCATCCAGGTTGGAGTGTTTGATTCTCTCCAGGAGGATGCGGCTTAGTATTTTGCTTGGGATGGACAGGAGCGTAATTCCGCGCCAGTTTTTACATTGACTTAAGTCTCCTCTCTTTGGTAGTTTGAATAAATATCCTTTCTTCCAATCCTCAGATACTTTGCCCTCTTTCCACACCTTCTACGGCAATGGCGTCATCAAGTCCGCTGCTGTCTCTGGGTCCATTTTCAATGCTTCTGCTAGGATTCCATCTGGTCCTGCTGCTTTTCCAGCTTTTAGCATCTTGATTGCATTCAGGACTTCTGATTTCGTCGGAGGGTCGATGTTCACTGGTAGTTTTGCCTCAGTTGTTGGTATTATTGGGCGCTTTGTAGACTTTGCGAATCCTTTAGCGGTGTAGAATTCAGTAGCTTTAGCTTTTTGACCACTGAGAGTCTTTAGCTCTAGAAGTTGATACACTGTCCAGTATCCATCAAGATTTAATGTATACTTATATTTGGATCGAGTAGTCCTGTCTACTAGTGAATAGCTGTCATCGAAATTAACAATTTGCAAATTGGATACATTTATTTGCAAATACGAATTTAAAACAAGCAACTTATGTGGGTTAATAAAGCAGAATTTAATGGAGCCATCAAATTTCGGTAAAAACTCGTCAGCTGAATACTTTACATACACGGATATATGTGTATATACTTTTGAAATCACATTGGGGGACATAAAGTAAATAGACTACATTGAATTAATTATGCAAAACGACACGTGTGAATACTTTTCAGGTCATGTTCAAATAGATAAGGGGGAAAGGGTATGAGACATGAAAATTAAGATAAAATGCATGACGCTTCAACTACATCACTTAGATAAACAATTAGTCATTAGAGAAAGAACTTAAATATATCAAGAATTGAGAACCGAGTAATATTAGTGATAATAGTTACAATAATAACGCTGAAATGAGTTAAGATAATGCTAGTGATAAAAGATCGTTTTAAATTAATCAAGAATAGTAATAATAACAGGTAGAATAAAGTGTTAATAATATTATTATTAATAATAACAGTTAATAAGTAAGATACATTATCATGATAGATTCAGAGTGACCACCATTTCCTTTTGTATACAGAGACCCGATTTATAAACTCTAATTTCACAAGCCTCCTTGACAATGGCAAGTATCTTTCTCTTTGTTTGTCTGCTGACAACAATGAATGACTTAACAGAGTCAATATCTTGTCTATAGTCCACAAGATGCTATGTTAATGAGCTTTTTGGAACTTTGTATTCAGCTGTTTTCAATCAGTTAAGTAAATAATGCATTATCATGCGAAGTGTGTATTGGGGACCAGATCGTTGAAGCATCTGCTTGTTGCTGATAAGGAGGAGGAGGAGTTTTGCAGCATAATAAGTCCTGTTAGTAGCTTTATCGAGTCTTCGTTTGACTACCTCTTGTACATCATCTCCTTTGAATTGGAAATTAATACAGACTGATTTGATGATGTTTGATGGTTGGAATCAATCGACAGGAAGCTTTGGAACTTGGACCGTGATGGCGAGCTACCTAGAATGGTGGCCATACTACAAACCTGACTGACAAAATTCAGTCTGCTTCAAAGAAGGACTAGACACATCACACTAGTTACTACTAGTGTCCAATCAAAAATAAACTGATTTCTTTGGAACTGTTTAGATATTTTTTTCAAGGGCTCGTTTCGTTATAGTTGTTATTACTGAACTTCTCAAGATATCCATTCTTAGATGAAACATTCTTCAGAGCTATTATTTCATGTCCACTTGTACTGTTACAACAAATTTTCCGTGCTCAGTTGAACAGCATTCTGACTAAGTTCTTTTTATTTTATTAACAGGCCCTAACATTTTGATCTGCTTTCACATACAGTAAAACTATCATCAATATATCTTTAGCATACGTTCGTCTGTTGTATATGTTGCTGCAAAATACCGGCTTCTAAGCCTGACAAGAATAAATTTGCGAAAATTGGTCCCGAGGGGATTCACATGGTGACACTATGAACCTGACGGAATAGGCACCTATCGAATTGGATTGGACATTTTTAGCACACAAAAGTAACAATCTCCTTAAATTTGATGTTGGAATAGGTATGCATGTATAAAGTCACTTGTTTCAATGACTGGCACATTTGTGAATACGGAGATAACATGACCTGAAATAGCATTCACACGTGTCGTTATACATGACTAATACAATGTAGTTTATTTGCGTATCAGTCTTTTATCTCCTAATGCATTTTCAACAGTATATATATTCCTCTATGTAGAGTATTCAGCTGACGAAGAATTCTGCCGCAATTCGATGTCTTCCTGCATTATTACACATTGCTGCCCGTTTTAAATCTGCCTAAAATTTCCACTGTTACATATTTCGATGGGTAAATATTTTCACCTCAGCTTCATTGGAAAACCAAATTATTTAACTCCCCTTGGATGTGATCAGCTTGATACCATAAATGGTGATCAACGTAGTAAGCATATTTGCATAAAAAAACTATATACTACTGGTTAGTTCAGATGACTTCTAATATCATCAACCAGTAGTGCTTTCTAACCAAATAGAGATGATTTATATCACTGGACGACCATTACACTGGTTTGGGGGAGAGCTCATTAGCAGTGTAGCCAGTATGACCCAGCTTAGATAGTCGAATCGGTCCAAACCACCCGATTTCTTGATTGGACACTAGTCAGTAACTAGTGTAATATGTGTGCGTCCAGTCCTATCCACGGTGCAGACTAAATTCGATCAGTGAAACTTGAGATGTGACCACCATGCTAGGTATCCGCCATCACAGTGCCCTGTGAATTGTTGGTATTAGATAGTTGGAGGCAATCGGCCACAGTAAGCCCAGCCAACTAACCTAGGTTTCGTGCTAGCTGGCACTCATCAGCGAGCGTATCTGCAACCTCAAAGGAACAACTCACATCCCAACAATTCACACTACACCATGATGGCGAGCCACTTAGCATAGTGGTCACATTGCAAACTTGACTGACTGATAGAATTCAGTCTGCACTGAAGATAGGACTGAACACACAAGCATTACACTAGTTACCGACTACTGTTCAATCAAAAATACCTAATATAGTCCTACAGGAGCTTGAATAGCTCAGTGGTAACGTCTGTGACTGCTGTGCTCACTGGCTCGAATCTCATGGAGGGACATGAGTTCCCTGGAGATTGCAAATACACCGGTGAGTGACAACTACCGCAAAACTTAGGTGTTCTCGGCGAAACTTCCTGCCGATCGCCTCCAACCAACTAATACCAACAATTCACAGTGCACCCGATTTGTGGCTGGCTACTTGTGCGAACTGGTAACACCATAAATCATACTAATGATTCGTATGTTAGTCAGCAGTTTCACAATGTACACTATTCGAGGGGTGAAATTTCCGAGACAACATTCGGAGGACTGTTTCTTACACTTATATCAGGAAATTTATATTGCTGGGCTTACATAT